ACCCCAAAGGCAGCGAGCCCAGGAGGCGGCCCGGGGAGCGCTGAGGCACCCCCGCAGCAGCGGGCTCTGCCCGGTACACCGATCCAGCCCGGTACACCGATCCTGCACGGTACCACCGATCCAGCCCGGTACCACCGATCCAGCCCGGTACCACCGATCCTGCCCGGTACCACCGATCCTGCCCGCTACCATCGCTGCGGGCTCTGCCCGGTACACCGATCCTGCCCGGTACACCGATCCTGCCCGGTACCACCGATCCTGCACGGTACCACCGATCCAGCCCGCTACCACCGATCCTGCCCGGTACCACCGATCCAGCCCGGTACCACCGATCCAGCCCGCTACCACCGATCCTGCACGGTACCACCGATCCTGCCCGCTACCATCGCTGCGGGCTCTGCCCGGTACACCGATCCAGCCCGGTACACCGATCCAGCCCGGTACCACCGATCCTGCACGGTACCACCGATCCTGCACGGTACCACCGATCCAGCCCGCTACCACCGATCCTGCCCGCTACCACCGATCCTTCCCGGTACCATCGCTGCGGGCTCTGCCCGGTACCACCGATCCTGCCCGGTACCACCGATCCTGCCCGCTACCATCGCTGCGGGCTCTGCCCAGTACCACCGATTGTGCCCGCTACCACTGATCCTGCACGGTACCACCGATCGTGCCCGCTACCATCGCAGCAGCGGGCTCTGCCCGGTACCACCGATCCTGCCCGGTATCATCACTGCGGGCTGTGCCCGGTACCACCGATCCTGCCCGGTACCATCGCTCCTGCCCAGTACCATCGCTCCTGCCCGGTACCATCGCTCCTGCCCGGTACCGCCGCTCCTGCCCGGTACCATCGCTCCTGCCCGGTACCATCGCTCCTCCCCTGTACCGCCGCGGCTCCAGCCCGGTACCGCCGCTCCTCCTGCCCGGTACCGCCGCTCCTCCCCGGTACCGCCGCGGCTCCAGCCCGGTACCACCGCGGCTCCAGCCCGGTACCATCGCTCCTGCCCGGTACCGCGGCTCCTGCCCGGTACCACCGCGGCTCCTGCCCGGTACCGCCGCTCCTGCCCGGTACCGCGGCTCCTGCCCGGTACCACCGCGGCTCCTGCCCGGTACCGCGGCTCCTGCCCGGTACCACCGCGGCTCCTGCCCGGTACCGCCGCTCCTGCCTGGTACCGCGGCTCCTGCCCGGTGCTCGCCCAGCGCCCGCCGTGACGAGCGGTGAGATCACCTCTGCTCTTACCTCCGGGGCCGTGACAGCGCCCTGCCCG